CGCTCCGCGGGAGAAAGATGAGGCTTTCTACTCCCATAAGGATTTACACCCTCGGAAACCCTGTACAGGGTCGCTATGGGTCAGAACCGACTCGATGGCACTTAACAACAACATCAATAAACTTTAATTTATTGGTGTGTTTGGTAAGTTATGGCAACCATTTGTAGTTACTTTCTCAAAATCTAGTCATTCACTCTTTTAGGATTGCCAAAAAGGAAATTGTGCTAGAGGTCTCTGTGAAGCAAACACTAAAACATGAATCATAAATAATTCAGTCAACAGAGTTGTATGTATGTTCCAAGCGTTTCTATACATTATATCATCTAATTTTTACAAATTACCCAACTTGAAAAAAATTGAGACCAAGAGCAGATCCTTAAGTTGTCTAGTAATTAAATTGTCTAATTGCAGCTGGTAAATAACACAGTTGAAATGCAGTTCTGGGCCAGTGAGTGATTGTCTCCCTCCTGTACCACGTTGCTGTACTGTATCAGTTATAGTTGATTTGTCTAGGAAATAAGCTAGAAAGTGACCCCTTAGGACTTTTCAAGCCCAGTGGTTTTTATTTACCTGTTGGTTTGATTAACAAAATTGTTATGATTTACTAATCGATATGTTATGGTTATCAATTATGTTGTCTTAATGGACTTTACATTATTAACTGATCTATCTCAAAATTAGGAATCCTTCAGAGACAAAATATTGTGGAAGTGGATTTCATGGCTCTGACAACTTATTTTCAAATATGCAAGTGAGTAAACATACTTTTTTCAAGATAGTATTATAGATAAGGAAAAACAGATTTTTTAAGAGTTTTAAGCTTACAAATTACAGGCTATGTATTTGAATGAAAGTTAATGAAGCATATAGCTTCACAGGGTTTCTTTTCTTTGAACATTAAATTAATAGTTTTTTCAGGGCATATATGAAAATTCAACAGCCAGCATTATAGTTGATGGAGAAAGACGAAGAGTTTTCCCCTGGAAATTGGGAACAATACAAGGGGGTCCACTCTTGCCATATCTATTCATGTTCATTATTGCCTGAGCAAAAAGACAAGGAAAAGAAAACATGTCCAGATTGGAAAAGAATAAGTAAAATAATTTCTGTTCATATATAATATAAAAAAATCCCAGAGTCCACAGGAAAACTTATAAAGCTAATAGAGGAATTTTGCAAATTTGCAGTTGCAGCATCAGCAAACAAAAACAAGCTGGGTTTCTATTGGTTCTGACTCAGCAATCCTGTACAGGGTTTCTGAGGCTGTAAATCTTTATGTGAGCAGAAGTCTTATCTTTCTCCCGTGGAACAACTAGTAGATTCAAACCACTGACCTTAACCGTTAGCAGTCCAGCTTGTAATCCAACACCATCAATAAAATATCTGAAAGGGAAATTAGAGAAACTTCCATTTATAAGACTATGTTGTTGTTGTTAAGTGCCATCGAGTCGGGTCCGACCCATAGCGACCCTGTACAGGGTTTCCGAGGGTGTAAATCTTTACGGGAGTAGAAAGCCTCATCTTTCTCCCGCGGAGCGGCTGGTAGTTTCGAACCGCTGACCCTAAGGTTCGCAGCCCGATTCGTAACCACTACGCTACCAGAGCTCCCTATAAGACAATAAAATACCTAGGAATAAATTTAACCATAGACATGAAAGACATACAATGCATAATGTAAAACAATGCTCAAAGTGATTAAAGAAGACTTTTAAATAAGTGGCAAGATGTTACTGTTCATGAATTAGAAGATTTAATTTAATGATCACCCAAAGTGATCATTGAAGTTATTCAGTGAAATTCTGATCAAAATTACGTCTTCTTTACATAAATAGAAAATCAGTCATCAACCTTCTATGGACTGACAAGAGATCCCAGCTAGTTAAAACAATGCTGAAAGGGAAGAACAAAGTAGGAGACTCATACTTCCTGATACAGCAATCAGAATATCCTGGTGCTGATACAATAATCGACACATAGACCAATGGAGTAAAATTGAAATTCCAAGAAATAAACCCACACATCTGTGGTCAGCTACTCTTTGATAAGGGTGCTAAGGCCATTCAAAGGGGAAAGAGCCTCTTGAAATGGTTCTGGGAAAAGTGGATTTCCATATGTAGAATAATGAATACAAAATCCAAACCTCACACCATGCACAAAACAAATTCAAAATAGATTAAGAGCCTCAATGTATAAACTAAAGTAATACAATTGTTACTAAATTTTATAGTCCTGTTTTCTGAGAAAGGAGTCCTGATGGCACATGGTTAAAGTGCTCAGCTGTTAGCTGAAAGGTTATTGCTTCGAACCCACTAGCCACTGTGTGGAGAAAGATGTGGCCGTCTGCTGATGTAAAGATGTGCACCCTTGGAAATTCTATGGGACAGTTGTACTCTGTTCTAAAGGGCCACTATGAGTTAGAATACATTTGACTGCAAATGGGTTTGGTTGGTTTGGGTTTTCTGAATATATGACTTGTAATGTTGTTGTGAAGTGTCATCGAGTTGGTTCTGACTCATAGCGACCCTGTATAGGGTTTCTGAGGAGCAGCTAGTGATCGTGAACCGCCAACCTTGAAGTTCAGACGGCTTTGCAGTCTGGTGCATTAACCCACAGCACAGTCTGGTGCATTAACCCACAGCACCACACCAGGACTTGTAACATACTTCCTACTAAATTTCAAGTAGTTATTTTGCACATATTTGTGCTCTATAGCATGGTGGTGGTGGTTATGTGCCATGGAGTTGGTTCTGACTCATAGTGACCCATTATACAGGGTTTCCGAGGCTGTAAATCTTTACGGAGCAGAAAGCCTCATCTTTCTCCCACGGAACAGCTGGTAGTTTCGAACTGCTGACCTTGTAGTTCGCAGCCCGATTCGTAACCACTACGTAGGGGACAAAATAATGAAAACGTAAATGTTACCAAATATCATGAGGCAACAAGTGTCTGGGCTCAGGACCATAGTGTCAGGGTCATCATGGCCAATTGACATACCATCATCCACAAAGACAATGTTCTACATTTTACTTTGGTGAGTAGTGACCCGGATCTTCAAAGCTCATGAGTAGCCATCTAAGGTGCAACTATTGGTCTCTACATGTCCAGAGAAAAGAAGAGTGATAAAAATTGAAGTCATTTGGAATCCATTAGCCTGATGAACTAATGGAACATGTGAACATCCATCCCCATGATTCTGAGATCAGAAGAACTAGATGGTGCCCAGCTACCACTACCAACTGCTCTGAAAGGGATCACAGTAGAAGATCTTGGATAGAATGGGGAAAAATGTGGTACAAAACTCAAAATTAAAAAGTGACTAGGCTTACTGGTCAGGAAAATACTGGAGGAATCCAGGTCTGGCACAAAACTCATCCTTGTGGCCCAGTTTTCAGACAAATATTAGATAGTATATAGTAACAACACTAGTAAGGTATGCTCACATGGAATGGCCAGCCTTTCAAGATCAAAAGAGTAACATTTACCTAAGGACAAAGTTCAGGAGGGTTGGAAAGGAGGGTGAAATGGAAATAAGAGCCACTAGGAGGAAGTGAAGGAGCACTGGTAGCATAATGGTAACAAATTGGGCTACGAACCACAAGGTCAGCAGTTCGAAACTACCAGCTGCTCCACAGGAGAAAGATGAGGCTTTCTGCTCCCATAAAGACTTATAGTCTCGGAAACCCTGTGCAGGGTCACTATGCAATGGAACCAACTCGATGGCACTTAACAACAATAGGAGGAGGAAATGGGAAAACTGTCATTACATGGAAGTAGTTGAAGTTACTGAGATGAAACAGTGTATAATTTGTTGAATGTAAAACTTCCCTGCAAACTTTCATTCAGTTCACAAATTCACAATAGAATATTTTGAATAAAAAAGAATATCACTCCATAGTAAATAAAAAGTCAGTGACTTAATAGGTGCCAAGGTACATACTTTTATTCTAAAAGAAGATAAGAGCATACATACATATAGGACTTTAAATTTTTCAAAATATACTCATAGTAATAATCTAATTTGACCCCTACAAGCACCATGTGAAGTGGACAGGTTGAAATTTATATCCTGTTTCATTAATGCAGAAAGATTTTATTGTAAATGTCAAATCATTGGAGTAAAGCCCAGATTTCTTTAGATAATATCTGTATCTTACAAAGTACACTTATTGTAATCGTTTCACATTATCTCACTATTGCAAGTATACATGTGTATTATATGCAAATATATAAACCCACTGCCATCAAGTGGAGTCTTACTACTAGCGCTCCTGTGTCGGGTTTGTGAGGCTGTGAGTCTTTACAGGAGCAGAAAGCTTCACCTTCCGTCTGCAGAGCAGCTGGTGAGTTTGAGTTATTGACCTTTAGATTAGCAGTTCTTTGCTTATCGTACAGCACCACTGGAGCCCTGGTAGCATAGTTGGTTACATGTTGAGCTGTTAGCTTCAGGGTTGACTTTCTACTCCCATAGACATTTACAGCCTTGGAAACTCTATACGGGCAGGGTCACTATGAGTTGGCACTGACTAGATTTCACACAACAACAAACTATGTCTATGTGTGTGTACACACACACGCAATGTGGATAACGTAATTTTTGACCAACTAAATATTTAACTGAACTTTATTGATAAACTGTTACTTTCTGACTGGATCTAGGCTCTTTTTATTGGCTATGGACCTGGATTCAAGCATGGCATTGAAGTTGAACCCTTTGAAAATATTGAAGTCTATAACTTAATGTGTGGTAAGTTTGCACAGATGACCTATCCCTTCCGGAAACAAAAATGGAATAGGATTATCAAATGGTGAACCCTTTTTAGAGACGATGGTGAGAAAAGACACTCACATTTTCATCTTTCATTTTCCTGCCTTGGAGTCATTGAAAAACTCCTCCAAATGTATCATCAGATTACCTGTTTCTGATACTGAGCTGCAAACCATCTAAGTACAATACCTATAATTTGTTGGTTGGTCTGTATGTCTCTAGTGCCTAATACTTTGCCAGACCCTAGACTTAATTATGACAATTGAATCAGAGCAGTAGAGGAAGCCAGAGAAAAAGATTTGTGGCATTGAAAGGTGGACCAAACAGATGAAACATCTTGTAACAATAACACAATGAATGGCAATATCAAGGTTGTAGAAATGGAGGAGGACTCATTAGCAATAGTGTCAGGTTCCTCTGCACATTCTGAAGTAATCCTCTTACGGTGGCCTATAGTTTTCATGCCAATAACATGCTGAGAGTTTACAAAGTTGTAAATAGGTTATAAGTATAATTCTTTTAGTAGGAACCTACATACCTTATATGAATTAATATAGAGGTCCTGCTGTAACACTATAGGATAAGCACTGGACTGCTAATCACAAATTCGACAGTTCAAACCTACCAACTGCTCCTCAGAGGCTGTATCAGTCAAAACTGATATGATGGCACTTAACAACAACCAGGTACTTAAATCAGCATCTGATACTTAGTGTTTTGCTGCATAAGTGCTTTCTAGACACAAAGTTAGTTTTAAATCCTAGGTCTACTGCTTTAGTAACTTTCAGACCTTGGGCAAGACACTGTGATTATTCAGATTCGAAATGGATTAATTTAGAAACTAGATACTGACACATACAGTAAGCTGTCAGTGAATAACAACTGTAATAATCATGCTGCTTAATGTCTACAATACTTTGTATAGAATAGGACGTTATGTGATTTGGACGTTGTGTAAATACCGTATGAAAACCTACAGAAGCCAGCCTCTAGTAGTCATCACTGCTGCTGTTGGAGCTGCTGATAGAGGCAAAAGGCAGTGTAGGGATGGAGCAGAGTGTGCCCAGTCCTGACTGCTGTTCTGCCTACGTGGTATAGCCACCACCGCCGCCACATGTTTGCTAGACATAGCCTGAGAGCCTGTGCTCAGAGCCATGTCTTCACCTCATTTACTGATACTCACCTGTGATCCAGTGCTGTAAGAATCTGGGTGTGAGGTCTTTAAAACTATTCTTGTTGGTAAGTGCCATCAGGTCAGTTCCATTCTGTACAGGCTTTCTGAGGAGCAGCTGGTGAGTTTGCATGGCCAACCTTACCATTCAAACCAACCTTGTGGTCAAGTACATATCCTACAGTGCCAAAACTGTTAGGGGGAAATCATAAACAAAAAGACAGATGCTTTCCCTTTAAAAAACACCAGACAAAAACAAACAAACATTATAGGGCCATAGACATAAAAAGGTGTGGATATTAAGTGACACCTACCTGGATTTTAAAATTCATAAATTTTTATAGAGATGTATACCATTCTTATTAACATTTTCATTCAGCATCCTAATCAAAAAATACTCTAAAATTCAGGAAAGTTGTACAGTTTTATTTTCATGAAAAAGTAAGGAACTTGTATAGATTTGGTTTTAAAAAATAAAAATTTATACTACAAATCTACTATTGGTTTGATTTGGAAGCTAATTGTCTCTTTATAATTCTTGGAATTATGTAGATTTGCTGAATTTGGTACCAGCTTCAAATAATGGGACTCATGGCAGTCTTAACCATCTTCTAAAGAATCCTATTTACACCCCAAAGCATCCCAGAGAAGGCCACCCCCCAGCACAGTGCCCATTCACAAGGACCAGCAGAGAAAACCTTGGCTGTTCGTGCAACCCCTCAGTAAGTGCTGTTGAGAGCTTAGCCCAGTGTGTGTGGCTTTACAATCCCCTCTGCTGTAGGAATATTCATTGGTTAAATGGAAATTTGAGTATCGGGGGACATACACTTATTTATAATTGTAGGAACCAGATCTTTTATTATTTCTTTTTCCCTTCCTAATTTTTGCATTGTACAGCAGATTTGCCTAATACAATACATCATTTGATTTCATGTTTGCTTCCCTGAGTGTTGATGACTGATCTGAACAAAGTGAAGTCTTTGACAACTTCACTCTTTTCTCCATTTGTGTGGATGTTTTTTATTGGTCCAGTAGTAAGAATTTTTGCATTTTCAAATCTATTTTTATCCTCTGCTACTGTGACGGACTTGGGTGCAAGTTGAAAGAAGTCTAATTGATTTCATGAGTGTCCTGGATAAGAGGAATCCCTGCTGTTTTCCTTGTGCAGATAGTATCCAAGCATAATATTCCTTGTTTAAAGCACATCCAGACCGATTTTACATGAGCCAGGTGGAGGGGAGAATACCACTTTTTGATAGGAAATGGGTATATGACTCTTCATTTTTCACTTCTTTCTTAATATGTAATTATTGCAAAAAGATAAAAATGCCTGCTAAGTTTGAACAAAATTGATAGCATTCATAATGGTAGAAATTTGGAGAGTAGTTTATTTTATTTATACTCTTTAAATTTAGATTTGACTGTTGGCTTGTGGAAAGATGGTAAGATGAAAGATAAGAATTATAAAGCTACAATTCTCAATTTTTAATTACTAGTGTTGCTGGTTTGAACCGCAATGTCAGCATTTCAAACTCACCAGCCTCTCCTTGGAAACCATATACAGGGTCCCTTTGAGTCAGAACTGACTCAACACCACTTAACAACAACAACAACAGTGTTACTTACGATAACACTTTTTCTTTTTTACAACTGTCATCCTTATCCTTTTATTTTCCCCCAAATAATTCTCATTTAGACAAGTCTTTAAAATTGTATCTTTGATCTACATTAGATTAAATTCTACAAGATGTTGCTTTCAAAATTAAAACCTGTTTCTCAAATCACTTTTTAGATTTTACCAAATGTAGATTTCGAGACACAATTGAATCTGACTATGGCAGAAGGTAAGACATGTTTACTTACAAGCTTGTGATGTGGAAATAGGATTTTTGTCAACAATGTGAGCCACAGAGATTTGAGTTCTGGGCATTATTGAAGGACACTCAGTAAAATTTATGGAGTAATGCCGGACCACCTGAGATTACTTTGTTGCAGTCTAGACGGTTAGTCCATACAGGCAGAAAGGACATTGGCCATGGAAATGATAGATGATATATTTACAGGAAATTGAATCACCATTTAAGAATATGATGTTGGTGGTTTGAAATTTTTGAAGGTTTATAAAAATTTAAATAATTTTAGAATTTATGAAATTGAAGTGAATGCCTTTTGTTTTAATTAATTGTTTATGATTCTACTTATTATTATTAGTTTGGTTTTTTATAGTTAAGAATAGTTTTCAGCAGGGGTAAGTAGAGGTAAGGGGTAGGTGAGTGTATCATTGTAGAACACTGTATAACTTGTAGTTAAGCACATTTCACTGGTGGTTTCATTTCCTCCCTACAAAGAGAAGAGTATTAAGAGAGGCTCTTTACCCTTTGGAAGACCCAGGATTCTCCTGAAGAATCACAATGCCTGCCTCCTATATCAGCACCAGTTTGTGAGTGGATACAGCCAGGACATCCAAATGCCTCTTTGGACATCCTACACCGTTGGCAGAAATGCAAGTATTTGTCACCTCTGTTGCTACGTGTGGCTATTTAAAATTGTAATCATCAAGCGAAACATTGAAAGCATAGTTTCTCGCTGTTGATCTTGGCTTTGTAATCAGTTTCCAAATTGACAGAATACTGAACTGAAGCCCATAGAGACTAAATGTTTTTCTCTTGTGAAATGAAGGGTATGCAGTAAAGATTCTCCATTTCTTTTTCCCAATTTTAATATTTTATTTTAATTTATAATTTCATACAGTCATTTTACAGCCCGTTACAATTATCCATCTCTGAATGAATGAGAGTAAGTCAAAAAGGTTTGTTCTAAAGGTTCCAGTTCATATACACACATGGGTTTATTCCTCTTAGATGGAACCAGTCCATGGAGAAGGGTATTATGCTAGGCAAAGTGGAGGGTCATTGAAAAAGAAGACTCCTCCAGTGAGATGGATTGGCACAGTGGCCGCAGCAGTGGGCTTAAGCTTAACAACAATTGTGAAGTTGGCACAAGACCAGGCAGTGCTTCATATGTGTAGGGTCGTTATGAGTCGGAACCGACTCGACGGCACCTAACTACAACAACAACATAGGGGTCATCTTGATATATTTTCTCAAAGGACACCGGACAATCACAAGGGCTTATGGAGAAATTTTCATAAAACTGCATTGGTGAGAAAAAGGGAAGAAAACTGCTGAGGAATTTTTTTTTTCTTCTTTCCATCATGATATAATGTAACTGCTCATTCATTGAGCATAGCAATGGCTGTCCTTCAAAAGTTTCCTTGGGAAACCTTAGTCCATCTACCCTAGAGTCCTATAATGACTCCTTTTTGTTACTAAAACTCAAATAATATTGAGAACACAACTTGAGTCCCCTGATGATGCCAAAACTGCCATTTTGATGTGTAAATCAAAGAATACAGAATTCTTTGGGGAAGGATTAGAGAGATGGAAACAACATCTTCAGAACTGTATAGGGCTAGATGGAGAATATATTGAGAAACAATAGGTTCACATTTTGATATTTTTGAATAATAAAGGTTTCCATAATTTTATAGCAATACTTTCTGACTTCGCATCATGTGAACACAGCATTTTACTGGTTAAATTACTCAGGAAGTATTTTGAGAGTGTGACTAGAAGTATATTTGCATGTGTGTGTGTGTACTTGTAACAGGAAGCTGATTTAGAGTTTATTTCCTGCCCCAGAATTTGAAGACCCCAAATTGATAGCCACTAAACTTTCAAGTTTCTTATGAGGACAACCAACGTTTGCACAGGTCATCTTTCTCCAATGCTAGTTAAGAGTCTGCAGAATTGTTCCTATGTTAGCCAACCACTGCTGCTGTTTCTACTAAGGTTACCAGATACAATACAAATGTTGTGTGGGACATACTTATATTAAAAATTATTCATTGTTATCTGAAATTCAGATTTACTTAGATGACCTTTATTTTTGTTGTTGTTGTTTATTTTTGTTGTTGTTACTATCACATTTAGCAACTATAAACCTATGTCCTACTTCCTGATGAGAAGTTTTCACCTATCAGTGAAAGAAGGGAAAGAAGGTTTGCTGCCTTTACACCAAGCCTAGTGTAAGGGGGAGGCTCTAAGAGTTTCCCCTCATAGTAGGGACCACTTGATGCCTTACCACAGGGGAGATGCTGCTAACCTGGAGCCTGTGGGCTACCTAGTGCTGTCATTTCGAGTGAATCATGGTGACGGGGTTTTGGGAGAGCTTGACTGGATTCTCTGGACAGTTCTAATGGTAAACTACCTGCTGGAGCAGCCAGTTCAGACCAGTGCTAGTAGGGACTATGAAACCCTGCCCTAGGAAAAACAGGAAGGTAATGAGAGGCATGCATCCCTCCGTTTCCTGAAGCATTCGGGAATGAGAGTAGAAGAGGAGCTCTGCGGGTTCCTTGGCAGCCTCGTACAGAGCTTAGTGATTAGAAGAAGGTACAGAAGACGTGGAGTAGGATGAAGCGGGCGTTTTTGTGAGCACTGTCTTCTGAGTGCACCTCCATTCTCTACCAGCCCCACTTGCAAAATATGTGCCTCACCTTAGCCCGAAGGGTGTTATACTTGCAGGTTCCTAGGAGTAGGTGAGACTTGAAACAATGCCAGGGTCCCTGGAGATAATTGATGTGGATTTTTTCTCTTGCGTAAAGTTATTTCTCCTGTAAGTAGTTTAAAGCACTAAAAAATCAAGCCAGAATCTAAGGCACAGGCCAAAAGGTAGCAAATCCCAGGAAGAACTTGGTATTGTATGATTCATTAGTCTCTGTTGTTGTTATTAAGTGCCATTGAGTCGGTTCTGACTCGCAGTGACCCTATATAGGGTTTCCAAGGAGCGACTGATGAGTTTCAATTTCTGACCTTGTGGTTCAAACCATCCTTGCTGTTCAGTGATTCATCCTACTGCATCACACCAAGACGCCTTAGTCTCTAAAAGAGAAACCTAAGGAGCTCTGGTAGTGTAGTGGTTACAAATCGGGCTGCAAACCGCAAGATAAGCAGTTCGAAACTACCAGCCGCTCCGCGGGAGAAAGATGAGGTGATCTGCTCCAGTAAAGATTTACAGCCTCGGAAACCCTGTTCAGGGTCGCTATGGGTCTAACAACAACAACAACAATAGGCCCATTATAAGTAAGGAGGGTCTTACTGATTCTGGAAACGGAGGGAGCTGAATAGCATCTCTCTGCCCCTGAGGCTATGAAAGCATGAGGAAACTGGCGAGTAATTTCCTCCAGGTGCCTCAAATCTCAGCGGGTGTTCACTGAAGGAGGTGGGCAACTATGGGAAAACCCCAAACCTCTCCACCATCAAAACCCAGAGGAGTATGACCTTTAATTGCTGCTGGTGTTAAGTGCTATAGAGTCAGTTGTGACTCATAGTGACCCTGTATAGGATTTCTAGGAGACCTAGTGTGGCATTGTGGGTTAATACACTGGACTGCAAGGTCAGTTTGAACCAATAAGTCAGAAATTCAAACTCATCAGAAGATTAAAGTCATCATTAGTCTAATTCTTTCTTTCCTCTTTTTAATGACCTTTTGCTTTCTTTATGTGTAATATTTCTGATGTCATTCTACAACTCCTGGTTTTTGACCATTAATGTATAAGGCATCAAATCTGTTCTTGAGAAGGTCTCTAAATTTGTTAGGGATATATTTTGACTCTCAAGGACTTATTTTCATTTGGTTCAGCTTTGGCCTAAACTTTCATATGAGCAGTGGGCTGTTCCACAGTCGCTCCTAGCTGTGCTTTAGCTGATGTATATTGAGCTTCTCCATCATCTCCTCCCACATACGTTGTTGTTGTCTCTGTGTTGTCAAGTACCGTTGAGTCAGTTCTGATGCATAATGACCCTATGTAGGATTTCCCAGGAGCACTTAGTAAGAGTTTGAACCACTGACCTTGTGGTCCAGTATGTTATCCTGCAGTGCCACATTAGTTCCTGTGTATTCTATCTGGTGAGGTCTAAATGCGTAGTTGTCATTTATGTTGTTGAAAAAGATATTTACAATGAATAAGTTGTTGGTCTTGTAAGATTCTATCTTGTGATCTCCAGTGTCATTTCTGTCACCAAGGCCATATTTTCTAACTACTGATCCTTCCTTTTTATTTCCAACTTTTTTATTCCAATCACCAAGTAATAATCAATGTATCTTGAGTGCAGGTTTGATCAATTTCAGACTGAAGAAGTTGATAGAACTTCATTTTTGGCTTTAATGCCAAAAATATTGGTGTGTAAGGTTGAATAATAGTGGTATTAACTGATCTTCCTTGTAGGCATATAGATATTATCTTATCACAAACAACATTGTACTTCAAGACAGATCTTGAAATGCTTTTTTTGACAATGAATGCAACATCATTCCTCTTCAACTTGTCATTCTTGGCACAGTAGACCTCATGTTTGTTTGATTCAGAATGGCCAATACCAGTCCATTTCAGCTCAGTAATGCCTTGGGATATCTATCTTTATGTGTTCCATTTAAATTTTAAACACTTCCAATTTTCCTAGATTCATATTTTGTACATGCCACAATCTGATTATTAACCAATATTTGCAACTATTTCTTCGCAGCTTAAGTTGTGCTTCATCAGCCAATGAAGGTCCTGAAAGCTTTTTTGCATCCATATCATTAGGCTCAGCTGTACTTTGAAGAGGCAGCTCTTTCCCAGTCTTATTTTGAGTGACTTTCAACCTGAGGAGTTCATCTTCCAATACTATATCAGAAATGTTCTGCTGCTATCATTAAGGTTTTCGATACCTAACATTTCACAAATGGTCTGTCTTAGTCTGGAAGCTCCACTGAAACCGGTCTACCATGGGTGACCCTGCTAATATTTAAAATACTGGTGGCATAGCCTCCAGCATCACAGCCACACGTGAGCCACACAGTACAACAAACTTTCAGATGAGTAGTAGCAGTTGGATTTTGAAAATGAGATTACTGTTAATATTACTGAGATCATGAAATACAGTGATAGGTGTATGTGTGCCCATGTACCTATTCTAAATATATGTATTATACACATACGCATACACTCTTATATTCACACATTTATATAAAGACATTGCTTTAAACTTGATTTTAATTTTTTCAGGACTTTATCTTGATTTATTCTAAATATTCTGTTTCACTTGACTTTATAACATAGCGCAGTTTTCCACAATGTTTTATAGGCTTTCCATCCTATTTATTATGGTTTAATACTTAATTTTAATGTCCTTTATTTTATTTGAATTTTAAGTATTCTTATATAATCAAAGTTGCATGAATTCAGTCATCAATATGTGAGATTTTTTACATTGCTGTTCAGTGTTCCCCGCCCCCCAACTGTTGACTTCGTAGTTGACTATGAAAGGTAGACTCTGATCCTTTAAAGATCAGTTTTTGCAACATAAAATCTGTGAATTGCATAAACAAATAGTATAAACAAAATTCATAGAGCAAAATAGAAAGTGTGTGCATATATATAACAACAATAAAAAAGGCTAATGTTCTAACACAATCTTTAGTGTTGTAAAAAAACTTTATAGTTCAGTTAGAGAAAAATACTGAATTGTTAGTTGTTGTTAAGTACCATCCAGTCTTGGTTCCAACTCTCTATAGTGTCTCTGAGGGTTTAAATCTCCATGGGAGCAGAAAGCCACATCTTTCTCCTGCGGAGTAGCTGATGGGCTCAAATCTTGGACCCTGTGGCTCACAGTTCAGTGCTTATCACATGGAACCACTGCACTCCCACAAAAAGATGAATTTGTTGTTGGTAAGTGTTGTCAAATTGGTTCCAACTCATAATGATCTTGTATATAGTTACCAAGGAGTGGCTGGTGAATTTGAACCACTAACCTTGTGGTTCAAATGAACCTTGTGGTCCAGTGCTTATCCAGCCATACCACACCAGGTCACAGTGAAGGAAATGATGTGAACACATTTTATTTAAAACAGTCTCTTTTTCAGCCCTGAAGAAACCCTAGTGGTGCTGTAGGATAAACACTAGGTTAATAACTTCATGGTTGGCAGTTCAAACCTACCAGTCACTCTCTGGGAGAGAGATGACACTGTCTCTTCCCATAAGGAACTACTGCTTCAGAAACACTCTTCAGAGTTACTGTCAGCTGGACATCTATCTATTCTATAACAGTGGATTGGGGTCTTTGTTTTAATTCAGTACCTGATAGATGATTTGTTTGGTTTTTTTTTTTTTTTTTTCTTTCATTTTGTTTTTCAGGACAATTTTTCCACAGAAGACTTTTCCAACTGTTTTTACCAAGATCTTCGAATTTCTGTTAGCCCTGTCCATAAGTGCTCATTTTATAAAAATAATGTTAAACTGAGTTATGGGTTCCTCTCCCCACCACGTAAGTCTATTCTTCCTCCCTTACTTCTTCCCTGACTATTCTTGTCTGTTTTCTTTTGCTCTTCCTTCTCTTTCTTTATAAATCTATCCTACATTATGGGCCATTGTACATAACTGTATTTATTTATTGATTGTTGTTGTTATATGGTAAAAATTGTAATTTAAAAATCTTGTTGTTAAGTGCCATTGAGTCGGTGCCTACTCATAGCAGCAACCCAGTATAGCCTTTCCAAGGAACAGCTGGTGGGTTTGAACTGCCAACCTTGTGGTTCACAGCCCAGTGCTGATCCTACAGTGCAACACCAGGAGTCCAATTTAGAAATAATATAGTATAAAAAATTGTTGTTGTTGTTAGGTGCTGTAGAGTCGATTCCGACCCATAGTGACCCTGTGTAAGGCTTCCAAGGAGCAGCTGGTGAGCTTGAACTGCCAACCTTGCAGTTCAAACAGCTTTGCAGTCTTGCGCATTAACCCACAGTGCTACACCAGGACTTCAGTATAAAAATAAGGCATTTAAAATGTGAATTTTTGAAAACTTTACTTTGTGAATGGTAGTTTATTTAGTGCAGGTACTGTTGGATAGAGACCACTCTTCACTTTTCTTATCAGCATTTCTTTTTAAGAAGGGATTTAAGAAAACTAAGTATGAAGTTGTAAGGAAGCATCAGTATGATTAGGAAAGAGATGTAAGCGTGATTTAAAAAGAAAATGCAATTTATATTTGTCAAGGAATTAGATCAATAAAGCCTTTCTCTTTGACACAAGGCCTGTAAGAATGGCTTTTTTAAACTAAGCATTCTATTTTTTAAAATGGCAACTTTGTATGTTAATGAAAAGACATTTTCAGGCCAGCCTTAAAAGGTAAAAATCAGAGGCCTCCAGGTATTCGAGTTCCAGTCTAGGCCAGTCTCCAGAGTAAGTGTTTGAGGTCAGCTTGGCTCCTACTTTATTAAAATAGACCAGGTCCAAGCTTCAGATTCGACAAGGAAGGCTTGTACAGTAGTTAGAGGCAGACACCCTGTAATATTTTTTTCTGGGTAGTAGATTTGCTCTTCACTAAAATTTAAGGAAAGAAGATTATCGACATAATACATTTTAGACAAAATAGATGAGATAAAGTTGGAATATATTTCATTTTGGGCTCTTATTTTTTTCAAAGATTCTATTTGGGAAATTCATCCTAAAGAAGAAAACATATAAATGTTTGATTTTTTTTTTTTTTTTAAGGACTAACACATTTATTTTCCTTTGGCCCAATACCGGGTGATGTTTTACACATTTAAGACTATACTTAACTAAATTTTTAAAAAATACATCCCTTTAAGCAACTATAATTTCTAATGTCACTTGTTAAAAATGATAAGGGTGTCTTTCTTTTTTTCCTTTTTAGAACTAAGTAAAGATTCAAGTCAAATCTATTCTGAAGCATTGCTTACGACTAACGTAGTACCAATGTACCCAAGTTTTCAAGGTAATGCATTTTTATCCTTTCTTTGATAATTTCAGTGACCTTCTGTACATATAGGTATAATTTATATGTAATAGAACTTAGAGCCTAAATTAAATGGCTAATTGCTAAATATATTTTGAATGTTTGTTTAACTTTTAGAATACAAGTACACAGCACTAGTACAAATCACAATATGATTTGTACTATTATCTATAATTCGGCTTTACATTTAAATGTTTATAAACATGTTTTACTTATAGTCTATACGTATTTACATTAATTCTCAATCCATTTCCCTATTTAACTACTTACAAGTTCTTAATGCTTGGTTGTTATATTTATTTAAAGTTAGACTTCATATCATTATTAATTATTGCAGCCTTTGACTCTCATAAGAATATACATTCACTGCTTAAACTGACTTATAGAATTTTAAATTAGAGAGCATAACAAGGAGATTTTTACTCTTAATTTAAATCTAAGACACTCGAGTATATTTCAAAGGGAATATTCAGATATTCCTAGTGAATCTGAATAACATTTCTTCTTTATATTGGTGGTGTTGTGATTCCAAGTTCAAGTGATGCACATGTTCAGGGATGCCTGAAACAGAGTTGATTTCAATATTAGCCTGCCAGATCCTCCAAAGGTCAAAGCTCAAAAGTAGGTTTGGACTTCACATTAAGGCAGAAGCCAAACTTGACTTTATTGCTAATTCCTATAACTGCTGATTTTTGGACCATGGTGTGAATTTATTCCACATGGCAGCATGTCCTTTCAAACCTCACTGTCTCCCTTCGGGTTTCAGTTATATGGCACTACATCCATGGCACGCTACTGCAAAGGTATGCTGAAGAAAGAAACGGCCTCAACGTTGTCAGTGGTCCTGTGTTTGACTTTGATTATGATGGCCTTTATGATTCTTCAGAGACTCTGAAACAGTAAGACTATATTTCATTTACTCATAAAAATAGTTGTCAAGTGGGGAAAAGCGTTTTTTATCCAGTATCATTCTCATTTATGTAGGTGACATTTCTTACTACACTGAAAGACCCCTGAAGTATCCGAATAATTTTGATGTTTCATTGTTCAGTGAAATATTTTTTCAGTATGTCTCTCCCACTAAACTTTGTTAAGTACTTTTAGAGCTCGGTTTAAAGGCTGAACTCTTATTCTGTGTTAAAGAAGTGTCTGGAGTAGTTTAAAATCTACATGTGGGGCCAAAATTATTACCATAATATACTGTCAGTTGAAGAAGAACCATCTAGAGTGGTTGCAGACATTAAAAGTCAAAGAATGAGCTGTGTTGTTATTGCTACATGTTCTTGACTCATAGCAACTCCGTGAAGGGTTTCCTGAGGAACAGCTGATGGGTTTAACCTTGTGGTTAACAGTCCAGTGCTTATCCTATAGTATCACACCAGGACTATATAGAAGATGTTAAACCATCTGGAATGGCTGCAGACATTAGAAGTCAGAGAATGAGCTATGCTAGAAAACTGTAATGTACCAGAGCTGGTGGTCTCTGATGAATGCCACAGCTTTTACCAATTCCAGCTGGGGATTTTAGTGGTAGGAAGTCATCACTGATGCTAGCTTATAAAAGGAGAGGGGTAGAACACTTTAGAAACTGGCTGGTATTTATTAAAAGCATTGTAAGATGCTTTGACAGGAGCTCTGGTAGCGTAGTGGTTACGAATCGGGCTGCGAACCGCAAGGTCAGCAGTTCGAACCTACCAGCCGTTCTGTGGGAGAAAGATGAGGCTTTCTGCTCCCGTAAAGATTTACAGCCTCAGAAACCCTGTACAGGTTTACTATGAGTCGGAACCAACTCCCTGGCACATAACAACAACAACAAGATGCTTTGAAGCCGTCTTGCTATTAAGGCTATAAAAAATAAATAAATAAAATGTGAGAAAGACTGAAGCCTCTCCAAGAACTTTCCAGCTTTCCTGGGTTGATTTTGGGTTACCATTTATGCATACATGAGAGTACACTCCAAACTAAAACCAAACCTGTCACTGTTAAGTGAAGTCCATGTCGTAGCGACCCTGTCAGGCAGAATAGAACTGCCCCATAGGGTTTCCAAGGCTGTAAATCTTTACAGAAGCCAATTACACAACTTTCACCTACAGAGTGGCTGATGGATTCAAACTGTCAGATTTTTAGACAGCAGCTGAATGCTAAACTACCATGATGCCAGGGGTCCTTGTGAGCACATCAGTCTGTAAAAATTACAATTTCTTACTGTATCCCTTGAGGCCTAAGGGTCATTGTGGCAGCCTCATAGGCTCCACTGGTGGAATGGATAAAGAAAAGGACTCTATGCTATTCCCATTCAGAGCTTCAGCCAAAGCCCTCTCTTTTAACCTGCTTTACATATTATGAATAGATATAAGATTGCATTAAAAAAAAAAATCATCCTTACCACCTTAAATTTTGGAATATATTGGCAGACAGGTGAAGGTGTGAGGCAGATGTGTTACACATAACAAAACAAAACAAAAACCCATAGCTTTGAGGCCAAAGGAAATAGGTAAATGAAGATCATGTAAAGGTGTTCCTCGGGACATCTTTGATAACACATGCTGCAAGCAAAAAACTTAACTGGGTGCTAAAGAAAAAAACAAAGGCGAGTTCAGAGCAGCACTTCCTGTTGAAGGAACTAGATTAACAGTCCTATCCGTTCTCTTTCTGTCCACTGCCCATCCCACAAGTGCATAGTTTATAAAGCTATCAGTAATACATTTGAATGTTGGTTGTAGGTGCTCAAAAAAGATTCTTCCTTCTTGTTATGTTGAGTAAAAATACTCAACTCAGCTTGAGTATTTTCAGGTAAAACTAAAAAGAGAATTTCAAAATTCAGCAAACTATAGAAAATAAAAATTACTTCGATTGCATTTATCTTAACTCTCATTATTTATGTATTTGTTTTGCTGCATTTTATTTTTTAGATTATTAAAAGCATGCACTACTGAAATAGTCATTAAAAGAAAGATAATTATGTCTTTTCTTAAAGTGAATATTGCCATATCTTACAGAAACAACAAAATCATCCGCAACCAAGCAGTTCTGATTCCAACTCACTTCTTCATTGTACTAACAAGCTGTACAAATACACTACAGACTCCACTACAGTGTGAAAATTTAGATACATCCGCTTTCATTTTGCCTCACAGGAATGATAACAGTGAGAGCTGTGCAGTAAGTAGCTTTTGTTCATTTACCTTAAACACTGAAAATATCAATATATGTATTATTTGTTTGGCATGTGTCTGACTCATATCTGCTTAAACTGTGGAGGGGAAATATAACTCTTGAATATCGTGCACTTTACAATTACAGTATGGTTTTTAATTGTATCTTCCAAGATGACTGACTTTTCAGAACAGCAAACCGCTCTTGTCGTCTATTGAAAACAATAAAAATTAGATTCCAATGTTAAAAATTTAAGTGACCTCATATGGTTCAGCCACTACGTTTTAGTTTTGTTTAAAGTATGAATTTACTCTTGCTTCATTCCAGAAGTATCAGCATTATCATAATTTGGTTTTAAAGTTGTGGTTAGACAACATTTCAAATGAATTTTTTATGTATCAATTTCCTGTAGTAATGATGTGTATCCTTAATTTTGCTTTCTTAATCTATTGTCATTTCATTATATTATCTTGTGTGTATTTATCTTATTTCTCTTTGAACACAAAGATTGTATAAAATTTTAAGTTTATCCATGGCAAGCCAAAATAGTTTTCTTTCAGAGTACTTTCCACATTTTCTAGTTGTTTGTTTTTGTGTGTGTGTGTTTGTTTTTCTTTAATTCCATTGAAGTTACGCAGTCTAGACCAGAGTCAGCAAGCAATTTTGGCTTTCATATAAGTCCAAGTAGATGGGGGTTGGGTACTAGGATCCTGCAGTCAAAGGATCTTAAAACCTGGTCTGAACTCAGCAAGAAAAAGTGCTATGGTTGTTCATTCATTCATCCCTGCTTTCATTGATTTGCCCTTTCTATGGCCTAGCCATTTAGTCATATAACAAATATTTATGTCAGGCACTACTCTAGGATTGGGAACAAAACAGACAGTGAAAACCATCTGTGGGCCATTTGCCATGCCTGATCTAGCAGTCTTTCTATGTACCACTCATGAAAAAAACTGAAGACATGTCTCTCCTGAATTGTTTAATGATAAACTTTCTGAATGAATTTAACAAATATCACATTGAGTTATTTCTTATTTTCAAAATTAAATATAGACTAGCAGGCTCTCAATAGCAGGGATCTATACATTTTTTATCTTTCTTCCACACTATCCTTTGCGTGTGGCTGTGGCCCACATGGCTAAAGATGGGCTTAGCTTCTCTAGATACAGTATGTGCCATTCCAAAAGATACTCTACCAACATCTTATTAAATGTAAATATCTTATCAAATTCTATAATGGCAAAGTATCTGGAAGGCACAAACTATTGAACTTGAACTAGAGAGGGGATCATTTGAAAATATATCACACATTCTTACTGGTTGATTGTCAACCTGTAGTAGTGTCTGCGGATGGACTCGATATGGTCCTGAGAGAATAGATGCTTTGTGTGCAATTTTATCCATCTCCATGAATGTTGAAACAGATAACAGATATCTGAAAGATTCCTGATGAGATGGAAACTAAGTTGGGTAGGAGTATTGGATAGTGGGTAATTGAGACTACTGGAGAAATAGTTATTGGTCATGTTTCCCAACTTTGTGAAAAGTTTTATTAGTCATTTTCAACTAATCATGTCCCAAGGGATCATGACCCATAATGTAAGTGTATCTTTGAAATACAATCAAAATCTGCCAACTGGTGGTTATTTTCTTCATCTGACCTTCTCAAAGTTCTTTTTGTGTGTGTGTGTGTTTCCAGAAAAATTTATACTATTACATGACATGATGTTTGATTTACATTCCTCTTTCATACTTCAACCTTTAAATTTGCCTGAGGATCTGCATTTAATTTCTGATCTGAAATCATCTAACACTTTACTACCTCACCTGAAATCGTATTTTACCACTTCCCCAAACCCATTTTTTAGGCAATTGCATAGATAACCAATTTTGACAAAAACTAGTGTTTGTGTACCTCATTGGCACCCATTATTACAGTTAATCTGTAAAACAACCCTAAAAGGAGGTAAAGGTAAGGGAATCCAGATTTAGATGTTAAAAACTTGCCCCAATTTACTTGGTAAGGTAGTGGTATAAACAGCACTTGAATCCAAGTTTCTTCATGCTAATACCTTTATTCTTTCTACCAAGATACGTGATTTCTGTTAGTTTAAATTTTTCTTAACCTTACATCATGAAATATTATCTGTTCTGGACATATTAGGCTATCTTGCCTTAACTAAAATTTAATATACCTATTTAAGCAAATTTACATGGTGTATATTAGATCTGCTCAGGGGCTAGGACTATGCCAAACAAATCTTTTGTTATCTGCCATGTGGTGCCCAAAGTATTGTCGCTTAAAGTGAGGAGATGGAGAGCTTGCGAGTGATGATTTTCCAATGACTTTTCATTTCTCCACATTCTCATAGCATGGGAAGCCTGAATCCTTATGGGTTGAAGAGTTGCTGAGGTTACACAGAGCCCGGATCATAGATGTTGAACACATCACTGGACTCAGCTTCTATCAAGAAAGAAAAGAACCCGTCTCAGACATTTTAAAGTTGAAAACACATTTACCAACTTTCAACCAAGAAGACTGATTTTCTTTTTTTTATTATTATTCTAAAGCATAACCTAGATCTTTTGGGAAAAACCATATATTTTTTACAGTCCTCAATTCACACTATTGCATTGTTTGGAAACTGTCAACCAGAATTAGAACTGGCCGCCCTCTGTGATACATACATCTCAGGGAAACTTGTGGACTCAGCTCAGCAGTTAGGGAAATGTTGCTGTTGAGTTTCGCACATATTTGAATATGTAAGAATTGTATGCCTTGTTCAACTTTTCTGAAATAAAGACAGACCATACCTAAAACTGCCCTTGTACTTCTCCCCAAAAAAGGGAGAAGTAGATGCGACCATTCTCTGGACACCGAATATTTGACTCTTACTAGTATTAATAAACTTTTATATGGAGCTGGCAAACAGTAGACTAATGAATAGGATTGGAATTGTTCATGTAACATTAGCTTCTTCAGAAGAATTTTTAAGTGATTCTGGATTCCTTTTAACGCAGATTTTTCATTTCTTTTTTAGTCAAAAATTAATGGAAACACAAATATTTCTGAAGTCTTATTTATCTTTTTTACAAACCACCTAAAGAGTCAAAATGTTCCTCCTGTGTTACTGTTGATGTGATCGGCTTTCTTCACACTAGCTCTGACAAGCTAAACTTTGAGAGATGATCTATGAATTGAATATATGATGCAACATTTTATTCTACATTTGTACAAAAAGAACAAAAACAAAGAAAAAGTTTTCTGTGTTTTTTTTCCAACAAAGTGATGATTGTAGGCTACTGAAAATGTGTGTTCTCTTGGTGACACTTAGAGAACTTGTCGGCACATATGTTGTTGTTGCTAAGCGCTGTCAAGTCGGCTCCAACTTATAGTGACCCTGTATAGGGTTTCCAAGGAGTGGCTGATGAGTTTGAACCACTGACCTTGCAGCTTAAGCCAGACTCACAGTACAGTGCATTATGCTGCAGCGTCACACCGGGACGCAAGTACATATATGGTTGTTGCTGTTAGGGGCCATCCAGTCAGTAACGACCCACAGTGAGCTTGTGTAGGGTTTCTGAGGTGAGTTTGATACACCAACCTTGCGGTTCAAAGCAACTGCAGACCAGTGAATTAATTCACAGCGCCACACCAGGACTCCCCAGAACATATAAGGTGGCATTTTTCATCGAAGTGTTAAGAACATTTTTTTCTATACAAAGTGACCCCACCAGCATCATAGCTGTGTGTGTTGAGCTGTTTATTTTGGTCCATAGATTTGGAGAACATGCCGACATCACTTCTTGTCTATTGATTATATCTATATTCTTTAAAAAGGTGCTCTGGTAGCGTAGTGGTTAAAAATCAGGCTGTGAACCGCAAGGTCAGCAGTTCGAAACTACCAGCTGTTCCGCGAGAGAAAGGTGAGTCTTTCTGCTCCCGTAAAGATTTGCAGCCTCGGAAACCCTGTTCAGAGTCGCTATGGGTCAGAACCGACTTGACAGCACTTAACAATACCAACAATATTCTTTAAAACACTGCAAGATACATGTTTGACTCAAAATAGCTTGTTGCTGCTGTTAGTAGCCCTGAAGTCACTGTGATAAAGCATGGTGTAGTGGTGGCCTTGGAAACCCTGTACAGGGTCGCTATGGGTCGGAACCGACTCAACGGCACTTAACAACAACAACAACAACAGTGGTGGTGGTGAGGGTTTCCCAGGAGTGCCTAGTTGTTTGAACAGCTGACCATTCCATCAAACCAACCTTGTGGTCTAGTGCTTATCCTACAGCACCTTACCAGGACTCTTGTTGTTGTCGTTAAGTGCTGTCAAGTTGATTCTGGTCCATAGTGACCCTGTATAGGGTTCCCAAGGAGCAGCTGGTGAGCTTGAACCACCGACCTTGCAGTTCAAAAGACTTACCAGGACTCTTAGCAAAGCTTAATTAAGTGGATAGATACTACTTTCCTTTGTTGTCCATCTAAGATACAAAGAACAGGTTAAAATACCTGCACTCTAGGGACTTAAACAGTCTTAGGAAGAAGGGTAGGGGGCAATAGAAATCTAAATGATTCCTGGAGAGTTGCTATTTTTTTAGGTGCCATTGCGTCTGTACAGACTTACAGCAACAGAAGGAAATACTGCCCAGTCTAGACCAACTTCACAATAGCTAAGCCTAAACCCATAGATGCTGACACTCAATGGGGGTCTTCCTCTTTTTCTCTGACCCTCCACCTTGTCAAACATGATATCCTTCTCCCGTAACTAGTCCCTCCTGACAATACGTCTGAAGTATGCCAGATGAAGTCTGGCCATCCTGACTTCCAAAGGAGCACTGTGGCTGTACTCCTTCCAACATAGATCTGTTGGTTCTTTTGGCAGTCCATGGTACTTTCAATATTCTACTCCAACACCATAACTTAAATCCATCAATTCTTATACAGTCACTGTCCAACTTTCGAATTCATATGAGGTTATTGAAAATACCATGACTTGGGTCAGGCGCATCTTAGTCCTGGAGAGTGGTGAAGCTTAAAATGGAACCTTGGGCGAGTAGCAGAGGTCGGGCCCAGGGAAGGTGCTTGGTTATTCTTGATGTGGCATTGTGGAGTAATGCACTGGACTGAAAGGTCGGTTTGAATTGTAAGGTTGGCAGTTCAAATTTACCAGCTGCTCCTCAGAAAACCCTATACAGAGTTGCTAAGTCAGAACCAATTCGAGGGCACTTTATAACAACAACGTGGTAGCTTCTAAAGGTGGTGGTATTTGAGCTCTGTCTTGAAGGATAAATTGGAGATTTTCAGGTGGACAAGGTGAGGAAACAGCATTCTAGCATTTCCTAGATAGATACATTTTAGCATCTTTACATTTTTCATATTTTCTGCAAGTGTCACATTGCTGAACTTACAATGCCCAAGGATTAGAGTTTTGTTGCTATGTTGCCTCTAAAGGAGAGGATGCACATGGCTGCTCCTATTTATTTATTTTTAAGTTTTTAGTGAATAGTCTTACCTTAAAAGAGACCCCTTCTATCAGTGTTTCATCATTTTAAAGCCTGTGACTGATCTCCACATGCTGAATAGTAAATTTGCATGGCCATCTATGTAAATGCCTTTGTTTTATCCAATTAAGGCTTTACTTTACCTTTCAATACAAAGTGAAACATTTTCATTCATCCCTAAGTTTACTTCTTTGATTATCTTCAACCCCCCACTGCCCTTGTATTGTTCAGACTCCTGGGTGGTAGTGATTATGTGCTGTGGAGTGGTTCTGCCTTATACAAGCTTTCCAAGGCTGTAAATCTTTACAGGAGTAGAAAACCTCACCTTTCTCCAACGAACAGCTGGTAGTAAAGAACTGCTGACCATGAGGTTAGCATCACGATTTGTAACCACTATGCTAATAGAGTGAACCAATACAGACTATAATATAAATCTTTATCTTTCTCCCATAGAGTGACTTTGAACTCCCAACTTTGTGGTTAGCTGCCCAGTGCTTAACTCACTGATGTGTCACCACACAGTCCAAGACTTCTTAAATCAGTTAACTTCCATAGAAAATCTCATGCAAGTCAGTTCATTCTTGGTAGAGCGAGAACTAGAGGGACGATCAAAACAATTCCAAATAATCAGAGATAGGAGAGCAAACATTAGGGAAAAGAAAGTGATTGTTAATGTACCTGGTATAGGGTTCACTGCAGGTTAATGCTCTGGATTGGAAGATTAGTGGATCAAGTTCACCAGCCAGTCCTCAGAAACCCTATTTTCTTGTTAAGTGCTGTCAAGTTGGTTCTGACTCATAGTGACCCTGTATAGGGTTTCCGAGAAGCAGCTGGTGAACTTAAACCACCAACCTTGCGGTTTAAGCCAACTTTGCAGTCCTGCGCATTAACCCACAGTGCCACACCAGGCCTTCCTCAGAAACTCTCTACAGGGTCACTAGGAGTTGGAACTGACTAAATAAATGGCTTTTAACAAAAACAATGTTCCCTCAGGGGAATTAGATATGTGGCCACCCAAGGACAGTTAGCGTAGTGGTTACGAATCGGGCTGCGAACCTAAAGGTCAGCGGTTCGAAACTACCAGCTGCTCCGCGGGAGAAAGATGAGGCTTTCTACTCCCGTAAGGATTTACACCCTCGGAAACCCTGTACAGGGTCGCTATGGGTCGGAACCGACTCGACGGCACGTAACAACAACAACAACAAGGACAGTTAAGCAGGTTGTTCTGGTCTTGTTCAAGGAAATAAAGAATACTAAGAGCTCCCACCACCCAGCATGACTTTTCTCTGCAGAGAGCCACAACAATGACAGCCCTGATCTGTAAGAATAATCCTATCTCCAATGTTGTTGTTAGGTACCATCAAGTCCATACCAACTTACAGCGACCCTATGCACAACAGAATGAAATACTGCCTGATCCTGGGCCAACCTCACAATTGTTGCCATGCTTGAGCCCATTGATGCTGCCAGTTTGCCAATCCATCTCACTGGGGGTCTTTCTCTTTTTCTCTGACCCTCCACTTTAACGAAACATGTTATCCTCCAGCAACTGGTCCCTCCTGACAACATGTCCGAGTATGAAAGACTAAGTTTGGCCATCCTGACCTCCAAAGAGCACTCTGGCAGTACTTCTTCCAACACAGATCTCTTTGTCTTTTTGGCAGCCCATGGCACGTTAAATATTCTCTAACACCATAACTCAAAAGCATCAATTCTTCTATGGTTTTCCTTATTCACTGTCCAGCTTTCACATGCATATGTTGTTAAGTACTCTGCAAAGGGGACTGAGGCTGTAAATTTTTACGGGAGTAGAAAGCCTCATCTTTCTCCTATGGAACAGCTGGTTTCAAACTGCCGACTTTCAGGTTAGCAGCCCAATTAATAAAAACTACGCTGCCAGAGTACCTTCCATGGCTTGTGTTAGGCACACTTTAGTCTTCAAACTGACATCTTTGCTCTTCAGCGCTTTAAGAAGGTTTTGTGCAGCAGATTTGCCTAATGCAGTACATCGTTTGATTTCTTGCCTGCTGTTTCCATG